AAGGAGCAGCTCTGCAAAGCTGGAGCTTTTCTCCCCTGGCTTTAGATGTTCACCCTGCAGACATCTGTGTCTGCACCAGGGATTGCACTGACAGAACAGAAATCAGTTCTTTCAAGCCTTGGTCCACCTGACCTGTTTTAAGTCTCTGCTACAGGATGTGTCATGCCCTCAGTGCTCCTGGTTCTCTCCCAGAATAAGGACTTGAGGCACAACTCAATTGAATCTCATTCCATGGCACAAATATTCTCAATCCCACCCTGGCCCTCAGAGCATTGTCCAAACCCTCCTGGAGCTCTGGCAGCCTTGGGGCTGTGCCCACTGCCCTGGGGAGCCTGGGCAGTGCCCAACCAGCCTCTGGGGGAAGAACCTTTCCCTGAGATCCATCCTGAGCCTGCCCTGACACAGCTCCAGCCGTTCCCTGGCTGCTGTCCCTGCTCCCCCAGAGCAGAGATGGGAGCTGCCCCTTGGGAGGAGCTGCAGCCCCCACTGAGCTCTGCCCTCAGCCTGCTCTGCTCCAGCTGCACACACCAAGTGCCCTCAGCTGCTCCTCATATGGCCCCTCCAGACCCTTCCCCACCTTTGAAGCCCCTGGGGGGATTACTGGGGTTGTCTGTGCAGGGCCAGGAATTGGATTTCTGTGATCCTTGTGCATCCCTTCCAACTCCGGACATTCCATGATTCTCTGATTCTAGGTCTCCATGATGTTTCGCTATAATTCCATGTGGAAATACCCAGGTGATAGAGAATATTTGTCCCAGCCATTCTTGAGGATATTCAGCTCTCATGTCACTGCTTCCTGACACACAGAGGAAAGCAGGGCAGAGCTGGCCCTCCCACCCCCAGCAAGGCTGGGACCTGATGGTACCTCGAGCTCCTTGCCCTCAGGGAGCACAAGCCCACACTGCAAAGGCAGCTCTTCTCAGAACTTCCATCCTTTGCAGTCATTGCTCAGGGAGATAAACCCCAGCTGGAGCTGCTCCATTACTCTGGAACTCAAAGCCTGTGGAAAGGCCTTCGGTCCATCACCTCCATCACACTCCTTCTCCATCAGCTGATTTTTTCAGTGTCTTCCCTTCTGCCCAGTTGCACTATTTGCTCTTACCTGAAAATCTCCATCTGGCTGAGACTGAATCAAAGCTCTGCTCTGCTCCAACACCTGCAGCTCTGCCCAGGTCAGCAGGATCCTCTGAAAGCTGCTGCCCCTCAGGGTTGCCACAGCCTGGAGACCTGCTTTACCCACACCCATTGTGAGCCACCACAACCATGGAATCATGGAACCACAGAATGGAATATCCCGAGTTGGAAGAGACCCATGAGGATCATCCAAGTTCAACTCCTGATTGTCTTTTACTCTTTCCATGTAGGAAAACTAGAGACAACTCCAAAGATCCTCAAATCCTCCTTAGGGTGGCATATGTGGCTTGAAGCTTTGGTCAACCTCTTCAGCTGGCCCAGAGGAGGGTCTCAAATTTAGAACTGGTTCCCATTCAGGATCATGACTGAAGCCCCTCTCAGCTCACTCCCCTGAGCCTCCTCCTCTCCAGGCTGAGCCCCCCCCAGCTCCCTCAGCCTCTTCTCATAGGATTTGTGCTCATGTTCAGTCAGGAGGAAAAGAAATTAAATGTGGTTTTCACAGTGAGCCCAGGCTTTGGAAAGGAACAAATGGAGTTTGGAGAGAGAGATGAATGTGGGAGAATAAAGTCACCTCTGCATCTGCACAGCAGCTGATTGTACCAGGGTTCCTGCTGGAGGTGAGGTTGTTGTGTCAGAGGGAGAAGGGGTTGAGAACAGCAGCTCTTGGTTCAAGGGACCCACTCTCCCAGTCACTGTGTCTTCAACCTGTGCCTACAAGAGGCCAGGTTGGACAGGGCTGGGAGCAACCTGGGTTAGTGGAAGGTGTCCCTGCTTATGGCAGGGGGTGGGACAAGGTGGTCTTTAAGGCCCTTTCCAACCCAAACCATTCCATGATTCTGTGATTCCATGATTCTCAGACCCTCTTTGGCAGTGCTGTGGGTGGCAGGTCCTGTTTCAGCTGCTCCTGCAACGCAGGGATCTCCTCACCCTGCTCTGATGCTTTGTGGGATCAGCCAGCCAGCCCTCTCTCACTGCACCCCTGGAGGCACCAGGAAGCCCAGTTGCTCTCCCATCACTGGTCTCAGCCCAAATCCAAATTCTGAGCTTCCTGTCCATACTTCCCTTGCCCTTACTGGAGGGAGACCTGGCTACATCCACACAAAAAGAAAGGAAAAAGACCACCCCTGTCACATCCATATCCCATCCCAGCAACCTGAAGAGCCCACCAGTTAGAAACTGTGTTGATAGTAAATCATAAAGGGTTAAACACAGAGGGTTTGGGGTAGGGGAGGTGTTTTTGAGCCTTTGTGTGATACTTTAGCTCTTCACTGATAGCTAAACTCTGAGAACTGCTGAAATGTCCAAGAGATTACGAAAGAACCAAAGAGGATGTGGAGAGACTGTGCCTCCCAAACCCTTAGACCTTCCTCAGTCAGGGAACAGCAGAAAGAAGGTTCAGCATGAGATTTATCCTGATATGTCCCCTTGAACCCCTGGGCAAGCTGCAGGTGAGGTCTCAGGTGTACCCAGGAGGGATCCATGGGCCTGGAAATGCAGTGTGGCTTTAATTCATGGTCAGGCCCTGGCCAGAAGGTTGGTGGCTGTTCCTGGAAAGATGTGGCTGAGAAGGAAGCACAGCCAATGTGCAGGTGCTTTTTCAGAAAATTTTACTACATTTCAATTCCCAAGGTTAGTGTTGGTTAAAATGCTCTTTAGGTCAAACCTGAAGTTGAATTAACACACTGACTGTCCCCACGGGACAGCCCAATAGTTGAGTTGCTACCTTCCAAATTGAGTTCTGCAGCTGTAAAATTCCCCTTGTTACTGCATCCAGCACAGCAGGATGGAATAACTAAAGCTGCACTGGGAGGGCCTGAACCACAAGGAAATGCTGCCAGTTTTCCTGGCTGTCCTCAGCTTCATTTGGTGTTTTACATCTTGACCTTGTGGCTCTGAACTTCTGCTTTTAGGACCTCCCCTGAATTTTGCCTCTTGCCATGTCCTGCTGTCTCTGAAATCCAGAGATATGGAGGCATCCTGGTGCAGAAGGGCAGGGAAACCAGGAGTGATGCTGGACTGTGGCTCCAGGAGAGGACATCTCTTGATTGGCATCTTTTGAGGAGATGCCTGAACAAACCAGGCCTTGCTTGTCTCCCTGTTGGGGGTTTCATCATTTCAGTTCAGAGGTCATTTCAGGGGATTTGAGACTTCTTGGGAAGAAAGGCCTCCAGTTACTGAGCTGATCCCACCCTCTCCTCCTTCCCTGGTGACTCAACAGCTCTGTGGGCTTCATGAAAATGCACATTCCTGAGTGCTGACCTGGCTGATTGATTGTGCCCCTGTTTATCAATGAATACCATTTTTCCAACTCTTGCTCTGCTGTTTCTTCCTAATAAATACTTTTATTTGCACTTCATTCAAAAAAGCTGAAACTCTCATGACATAATCATGAAATCCTGTGGGACCTCCCCTCCCCTCTCCTCTCCTCTTCTCCAACTTCTGCCAGCCCAGAAATTATGTCAGAGTTTTTGGCCACTTTTACAGACTGACTGACACACAAGTTCTGTTAAGGACATTCCTTCATTATGCATGCAAATGTAAGAACGTGTTTTATTGGTTTATATTTCTGTAACTTCGTTCCATTATTACAAACTGATGTTTTCAGGTAAACACATTCTTCTGCCTTTAAATCCTCTTTTAGTCACACAGCTGACAGGGCCTCCCTTTCCAGAAGGCAGCACTGCCCTCAGCCCAGAGGACTCCAGTCATTCCTGGGCTCTCAGCCATCCCTCATGGAAAGCTGAAGAGCAGCAGAGATCCCACCACGGTTCTTGGACCTCCTTGGAGCTGCTCTGATGGTGGGAGTAGCGCTAAACCCAGGAAGGCTCCTGGTCAGACTTGGACCTTGGGGGTCCTGGGGTGGATTTATCCCACTGCTCCTGGTCTGTGGAGGGACACAAAAAGGTGCTGCCATGAAAATCTCCACCTGGAGATTAGTTCTCCTCCTCATCATTCATTATTAGCTGGCTGTATTTTTTCGGCATTTTTCCTTACTTTCAAGAAAATTGGATGCAGTGCACATGGAAGGTGCTCTGTGGGTCTGGAATACATACATACATACATACATACATATATATATATAAAAAATATATATATAAAGTTCCCAAATCTTCATTTGCAAAGCCTAGTCATGATATATATAAAACACAATATATATAATATATATATTATATATAAACATATATATGGCACCACTTTGGTGAGTGTGGGAATATATGTATATATCTCATATATGTAATATATTACATATATGATATATATGATATATATGATTATATATATATCATATATCATATATATATATATATTTTATATACAGAGATATATATTTCTGCACTCACCAAGATGGTGCCACTGTTTCTCCAGCTCAGAACCAGCTGTGGTTAAAATGAACAATTAAAATAGGCAAGAATGTGAGAAAACAGTTCTGCAGATTTGATGCCTCATGATCCCAGTGCGATTTGGAGCTGCACTTCTTCAGAGAGGGGCAGCAAGAAGTTGGTTTGAGGAGGAAAAAATGCAGGATAGGCCACAGGAATATGTTCCACTGATGGTGGAGATCAGGAGTCTGGTCTGCTCAGGGCAGCTGCTGAGGACAATCCCCCACAGCTGACACCTCCCTGGGGATGTCCCAGCTGTTCCACATCACCTACCCTGGGGAAACCAGGCCATGGCTTGGCTTCCCAGGGTTTGGTCATCAGTGCATGGGAGTGGAAATGGTTTAGTTTGGTTTGGGAATGACTTGGGAATGGTTTCTGAGGCTGAACCTCCAGCCAGGAGCTGGAGATGTTGAGGAGCTGATGGATGATCCCTGTGGGTGACCTGGCACTGCCCATGGCAGGACTGAGCCTGGGTGAGGGACCAGGCCCAGAAGCCCGTGACCAGCTGGGCCCTGTGGTGGGAGAGCTGCAGGGACCCAAACTCCACACTGCTGCTGTCACACAGAACCACACAAATGCAACTTTGTCAGAGAGCTCAGGCTCTGCCCAGATGCTGTGCCAGCCCAGGAGATGTTCCATTGCATTGAACTCTCCAAAGTGCCAGCCCAGGAGATGTTCCACTGCTTTTAACTCTCCAAAGGCCATTGTCACTTGTCCCCTCCTTGCTGGCTGTGCCCTTGTCCTCACTTAAAGCAAGACATCCACAGTAACACCTTGGACATTGAGGTTAAAAGCTGGTTATTTAGAACCACAACTGAACAAAAAAGGCTGGACTAGATAGGATTTGATTAATTAGTGTGTACAAATCGTATCACTCATGAGATACACAATAACAGCTTAGACAGAAGCTCCATTTCTGCCACCCCCAAGAAGAGCTCAGCCTTCCTATGCTAAAACTCATCCTGTTGCAGGTTTTAATGAGGATTGGGAGCAGATTTCAGGTGCAGCTGAGGGCAGGAGGAGCTCTGTGGCTCTTCTTTCCTTGTCACATCACTGCTGTGAATCTCTCTCACACAAGACAAGCAGATACACCTAATTTGTTACCTGCAGTTGGAATTAATTTTCTGTCTGCACTTTGGGGAAGTCCCAACCTCTTTTTCTCTTCTGACACATGTGCCATTTTTCCAACTATTCTCTTTTCTGTTATTTAGCCTAATTTAAGCCAAGACACAGCCTATGCTGTTGGCAGAGGTAATGCTGCTGCACTTTTTAGCATCTGTCCTATAGATTAAATTTACATTCAACCTCCTCCACTTCAAGGTTTAAAGTGTAAAAGTCACAGGCATTACCTAGAAAAAGCCAATTTGTAGGTGGTAGGGACAAGGTTATGCCTCAGGCTGCCACAGTCCTGTCCATGTAGCAGAGGAAAGAGTTTTGGGAATGAAGGAGTTCAGGGTCAGAAACATCCCCAGCACCACCATTGGCCTGAGCAGAAGCATCCCAGTAACAGTGAAATGCAATCTCTTCACTGTCAGGTTTTGAAACATGTTTCTGATGCTCAGTGAATTTGCAGGAGGGTAATAAAGAGAATTTCAGTGGTGTGGGTTGTGCAGAAAGGTGTCCTGATTGTACCCAAAGCCTCCAAGTGAGGGAGAATCCAAAGCTGTGCCAGTGGTTCCTTGTCTCAACTTCCAGCAGCTGTTGTTTGGGTCTCCCTGCCATCCTCAGAGACCTGCTGGTCCTCTCTGCTTTCCCTCTGCCTAATTATAGACTGCAATCAAGTCCAAGTTCCTCCTCAATCAGTTAGTCCCCTTTGTGAGCATGGACTCTGTGCCTAAATCCCCTTATTCCTTCACACTGGCAGCATCACTCATTGTTATTTTGTGGTTTCTGGAATGCTGGCACTAAGGAAAGGTGGGTTCCACTGGTGGGGACGGAACTTTTGGAGCAGTTAGTATTTGGTGTAGTCAGATAAAGGGTCTACTTACCCTCAGAATAATAATAAATAATACTAGATAACAGACACTGCTGTTATTTATCATTTTAGCAGTTTAGCTTTCCTGCAAAGAAGTGATGAAGAAATGCTGTTGTTGCCCCATGGGCAGCAACTTTGTCTGGAGGATTTGCTTGGCTTGCTGAGGAGTTCTTCCATGGATCCTTTGGCTGTGGACATGTGGCAAACACAGAGGACAATCAATGTCCTTTGGAGCTTCATCCAGGAGCAGAATGTCACAGAGTCACAGGATGGTTGGGGTTGGAAGGGACCTTAAAGCCCATCTTATTCCAACCCCTGCCGTGGGCAGGGAGACTTCCACTGGGTGACAGAGCCCCAGTGTCACTTCCTTGGGGTGTTTTGTGGTGGGTTGACACCTCTGCTGACTCTTCTGTTGAGCAACAGAGATGGTGAGAGAGGGACTGGGGAGTCCTTTGGGGTCTGGGCTGGGATCAGGCTCCAAACAGCTGGTTGCACATGGACAATACAAGTCTTGGCACCTCCTCGTTTATAACTGAATGCACAAGGCCAAGGTGTTAACTGGGAGGGAAACCCACTTGTCAAATGTTGTAACTTGAAGCATCTCCATGACATCTAGATATTCAAAAAAGAATTGAGTCCCTTCAGCTGGTTTTGCCCCCAGCCTGGTGTGAAACCCCCAGGGACCAGCTCCACCCTGCTCAGCAGGGGCATTTTCACATTTCCTTCTGTGCATTTAATGACTGGGATTTTCTCTTTAGTAGCAAAAAGGAAATTAAATCACCATCTTAAATCTGCAGGAGCCACTGTTATCTATCTTCTGCTGGGCTTGCCTTAGAACTGTTGAGTCATTAAGGTTGGAAAACACCTCCAAGATCATCAAGTCCAACCTTTGACCAATCCCCACCTTGTCAACTTGACTAGAGCACTTAGTGCCACATCCAGTCATGTCCTGAGCACTGGAGAACCTTGCCTTGCTGTTCCCCAGGCCCAGGACACCAGGCAGTTTGTCCAGGAATGGCTTTGTATCCTGAAAAAGGACTTAATTCCTGCTGAGTCTCTCTGGCCAATATTCCTTATGGGCAGGACAGAGCCCACAGAAGCAGCTTCCAGGCTGCTCTGAAGCCCTCAAACTCCCAGCTCCAGCTACTGGCACATCATAAAAAGTATTAAACCCCATAAAAATGAGAACTTTTGCCCTGTGCTTACTGTAGACACAATTTTCCCAGCTCTGCAAAGCTCACAGTGATGGGGCATTCCCATGTCATAGGTGTCATTATCTGTGTGAGTAACAGTTTTCTATAAAGGGCGATATCAGAGATTATAAACCTCACAATAATAATTTATAATATATGTTTTATATAAATTTATACATATCTAATATATAAATTTTTATATATATAAATTTATTGTTTTATATTTTTCTATTATTTTATATATTTTCATTATTTTATATATTTATCTATAAAAATAAATTTAGAGAAGACATTTGTAATTAACCTGTGGCTTTTCCTCCCAAAGCCAAGCAGGGAGTGCCATCATGGGACTGACTGGGGGCTTGGGCCCAGCACTTGTGCTGGAGCAGAGCATGAGGTTATTTCAAGAAATTCAGAAATTTCCTCACAGTTTTACATCTGTGGCCATGTTGACCAGCCAGTAACTCCCCCCGTGTGAATTAGTGTTGCCTCATGGATTTCTGGCCCAAAAAGCAGCTCCTGTGCTTCATTTTTTAAGGCAGATTAATCTGGGTTGCAAGTGTGAGCTCAGAGCCCGGTGACGTGTGTGTTCCTGAGCTTGGCACCAGCTGGGCTTTGCTGGGAGCACCAAGTGTGGGATGCAAATGAGCCAAGAGCTTAAAGAGCCTCGGAGAAGGTAAGAAAAATAAAAGTGTAATTAGCTGAGACCACAACAATGATGACAGGACTCAAACAAAGCACTCCTAGGAGCTACCAGAGAGCTGAGGAGCTGCTGGACAGGAGAAATAAACTGAGCAGGGCAATCAGAGAATTAGTTCGGGGATAAAAGACATTTAAGGTCACTGAGTGCAGCCATAAAATGGAAAAAGAGAGGAGAGGGTCGGAGAGGACAGAGTGGAGAAGAGAAGAGAAGAGGAGAGAAGAGAAGAGAGGAGAAGAGAAGAGAGGAGAAGAAAGAGAGAAGAGAAGAGAAGGTTGGAGGCAGCTGTTGGCAGGCCAGCAGGGGTTTAGGAAGAGGTGTCAGACAGGGCAGGTCACAGTCTGGGAGGATCAGAAGGATCTCAGTGGTTCATTGCCAGCAAGGGCTGAGGCTCTGGAGCTGGGAAACAGGAGTTTCCAGAGAATGCTGTTTTTTCTTCATTTTCAGGCAACAGAGTAAGACCTTTGTGCATGTTGGCAGAAAGCACAAGCATGAGACACTGAGTTGCAATATTCTCCTTGTCTGCAAGAGAAAAAAATGTGGGTTTTTGTAAGATTTCCAACAGTTTTACTCAATCCCTAATCCTTCAAACATCCTGCTCAGCAGTTGTTTCTGTTGCTATGATGGGTGCTGGGGGCACCAATCCTTGTGTCCCAAGGGAGGGTTGTCCTTCCACATCCATTTCCCATGCAGGAAGGTGGGTCCTTTGATAAAACACTTCATTTCTCTCCCTGGGCAAGTGGAAATTTCTTGCTAGAGCCGGTCCAGGACTCTTTACTATCATGTTTACTGGTGTTAAACCTGACTCTTTTGCAGGTGTGTGGCTTCTTTACCACCATATGAGCTCGGAATCCATCAACTCAAACAGGAAACTCTTCTCAGAGGGGTCACACCAGGGCCAGGAGGACTCATGAGTGAGTCCCTGTCCTAAAGGGGCTCCAAGAGACTGGAGAGGGACTGGGGACAAGGGATGGAGGGACAGAACACAGGGAATGGCTTCCCACTGCCAGAGGGCAGGGATAGATGGGATATTGGGAAGAAATTGTTCTCTGTGAGGGTGAGGAGGCCCTGGCACAGGTTGCCCAGAGAAGCTGTGGCTGCCCCTGGAATCCCTGGAAGTGTCCAAGGCCAGGTTGGACAGGGCTTGGAGCATCCTGGGCTAGTGGGAGGTGTCCCTATGCATGGCAGGGGGAGGGACTGGATGAGCTTTAACATCACATCCAACCAAACCAGTCTGTGATTCCAGGATTCTAGGACTTATTCCATAACATCTTCCATCCCAGCTCAGGCTGTCCCCATGGATCTCAAAACACAAAGATAAACCCAGACCTGTGTAGGACTCAAACCCCACAAACCTGCAGTGTTCCTGCCCTGCAGTTGCAGAGGGCATCACCAGCACTCTGCTGAGGACACAGCACAGCAGGGAGGGAAGGAGGAGAATCTCCTGCAAGTGCCAGTATTGGGACTTAAATAGTGGAATCACAGAGCCATGGAATGGTTTGGGTTGTAAGGGACCTCCAAGCTCACCCAGTCCCACCCATGCCATGGGCAGGGACACCTTTCCCTGTCCCAGGTTGCTCCAAGCCCTGTCCAACCTGGCCTTGGGCACTTCCAGGGCTGGGGCAGCCA